CATGAAGGGAGACATCCCTGAGGAGGAGTTGACAGCCGAGTTCCTGGCAAACTCCGCCCATGGCAGGAGATCAGCCCAATCGTCCTGATGGTCCGAGATATAGCAGCGAAGGAATTGTTCCAGGGCCTGGTTGGAACGCTCCGCAGCCCTATTGGACTGCGGGTGGTAGGCCGAAGAGAAGGAGAGCTTGATACCCAACTGGGAGCAGAAGGCGTGCCAGAACCTGGACACGAACTGACTCCCACAGTCCGAGACAATCACCCTGGGCAACCCATGCAGGCGAAAGATCTCCCTGGCAAAAACCGTGGCCAGTTTTTGCGCAGTTGGTAATTTCTTGAGCGGAACGCAATGGCACATTTTGGAAAAAACAATCAATGACCATGAGGATGACCGTATAGCCCCGAGACACAGGGAGGTCTACAATAAAATCCATGCCCAGGTGTGACCAGGGACGCTCCCCATTGGGAATGGGTTGCAGAAGGCCCAATGGAAGATGCCGTGGAGATTTATTCTGGGCACAGATCGAACATGCCGCTACATAAGAGGCGATGTCGGAACGGAGGGTTGGCCACCACCGGGTGCGCAATCCCTCAGGTACGAAACATCTACCATCCGCTCTCTCGGGAGGAGCGTCAGTTTGAGCCGCCAAAATCTGCTCCCCAAGGGGAGCAGTCAGACTGGTGCGAATGGCAGCCAGGATCTGATCCGGAGGTATGACCGAGGTTGGCTCAGAGTCCTCCCTGGACAACTCAGAGTATTGCCGCGACAATGCATCAGCCCTGACATTCTTGGAGCCAGGCAAATAGGAAACCACATAGTTGAAACGTGACAAGAACAAGGCCCATCTGGCCTGACAGGGCGTCAATCTCTTGGCCTCCGAGAGATACGTCAGGTTCTTGTGATCGGTAAGAATGAGGACCGGAACCGCGGAGCCCTCGAGCAGATGCCTCCATTCCTTGAGAGCCTGAATGATGGCCAACAACTCCCTATCTCCAATCAGAATGCAACTGCATTCTCCAGAGGAAAGCTTCCTGGAGTAGAACCCACAGGGAAATAGGGGTCCATCGGGCGACCGACGCTGAGACAGGAGAGCGCCTACTCCCGTCTCAGATGCATCAACCTCGAGGACGAAGGGCAACCCATATTTGGGATGAGACAGTATCGGAGCCAAAGCGAAGGCGGATTTCAGGGCCTCAAAAGCTATGATGGCCTCAAATGGCCACTCGTGAGGATTACTGCCCTTCTTGGTTAGGTCTGAGAGAGGCTTTGCCAGCGTGGAGAAGTTCCTGATGAACTTCCGATAATAGTTGGCGAAACCCCAAAAAGCGCTGAATGGGCCGAAGACCATTGGGACGAGGCCATTGCAGAACCGCCGCAACCTTCTGAGGGTCCATGGAAAATCCCACCGCAGAAATGATGTAGCCCAAAAAGGCAACCTGGGACCGGTGGAATTCACACTTCTCGAGCTTACAAAAAAGTTTGTTCTCACGTAACCGTTGCAGCACCCGCTTGACATCCTGGATATGGGACTCCATGGAGGCAGAGTAAACCAGGATGTCATCCAAGTAGACCACCATGCACTGCTGCAACAAGTCATGAAAGACATCATTTATGAACTCCTGAAAGACCGCAGGCACGTTACACAACCCGAAGGGCATCACCAGGGATTCATAGTGACCGGTTCTGGTGTTAAACGCGGTCTTCCACTAGTTCCCCTGCTTGATCCGTACGAGGTTGTACGCCGCCCTAAGGTCGAGTTTGGTAAAGACCGTTGCTCCCTTGAGGCGGTCGAACAACTCGGTAATCTATGGGATAGGGTAGGCATTCTTAATGGTGATTCGATTGAGACCCCTATAATCGATGCAAGGCCTCAATTCACCACCCTTCTTCTTTACGAAGAAAAAGCCCGCTCCTGCTGGGGAAGTAGACTTACGAATGTGCCCCCGGGAAAGTGCATCCGCAACGTACTCCTCCATGGCCTGATTCTCTGCAACCGAAAGAGGATACACCCTGCCACGCGGAGGAGTGGCACTGGGTTGCAAGGGTATGGCGCAGTCGTAAGGACGATGGGGAGGTAAGGCACCAGCGCGCACCTTGTCAAACACGTCTAGGTACTCCCCATAGTCGGTGGGCAACACAGAGTCCGAGGAGGCACACAACACCTTAACCGGCCCACGGATGCACCCGGCCCCACACTGTGGAGACCACGAGAGAATCTCGACCGTTCGCCAATTAAAGGTTGGATTGTTCTTCTGGAGCCAGGGATACCCCGAAACCACGGAATAGTGCGGGGAAAAAATTACCTGAAAACAGGCCAACTCCCTGTGAACAGCCCCAATAGCTACTTCAACCTGCGGTTGCGGGGGCCTACCATCTATCGCCTCGAGACACAATGGGGTAACTCGAGCCTGCAGGGGAATGGAGTACTGGGCAGCAAACAAGCTGTCCATAAACAACCTGCCGGCCCCAGAGTCTACTAACGCCTGGGGTCACCCTCCGCCCCAGAGAGGACAACAGTGATCAGTGGTTTATCTTTGTGGAACGCCGGGGACGAGGAAACTCCACTCAAGATCTGTCTCCGACAGGATCTCAGGTGTGAGCGTTTCCCGGACAGGACTGCCGAAAGTGCCCACCAAGGCCACAGTACAGGCAGCGACCCTCCCGACACCAAGCGGCCCGCTCCCCCACAGAAGGGCGAGCAACCCCCAGCTGCATGGGCTCACCGCCAGACAAGCCATCCCCAGGAGGCGTGGGAGGAGAGGGAGGAATGGGTGGGACAGAAAACGCAGTCGCCAGTAGGTTGGGAGGCCTCCGCAGGCGCTCCTTGAGTAAAGGCCTCTCCCTGAGCCTGGTGTCAATCAGGATTAGGAAGGAAATGAGTGCTTCCAGCTCCACAGGAAGTTCCTTGGCTGCAATCTCGTCCTTCAACGCATCAGAAAGGCCATGAGAAAAAGCAGCCACCAGGGCCTCATTGTTCCAGCCCACCTCTGCCGCCAGGGTACGAAACTCAATGGCGTACTCGGCAACGGTCTGTGAACCCTGATGCATGGACATGAGCAGCTTGGCAGCCGAGGCGGAGCGAGCCGGCACGTCGAATACCCTACGGAAGGCGTCGACAAAACCAGAAAACTCGGGAATCACCGGGTCATTCCTCTCCCATAAGATATTTGCCCAGGCCAAGGCCTTGTCTGAGAGCAGCGAGATTAGGAAGCCCACCTTTGACCTCTCAGTAGGAAAAGGTATTAACTCAAAATAAATGCCCACCTGGCTGAGGAACCCACGACACTGACTCGGCTCACCCCCAAAGCGCTTTGGGAGAGGGGCTGAACCAGTCATACCTCTGGGCACCGCGGGCGCAGTGACAGCCGCGGCGGTAGGCGCAACCGGAGCCGCAGCGGGGGCGACCACCGGAGTGACAACCGGCCTAATAGCACCAGGAGCAAGGTGCGCGGTGCGTGCAAGCAGAGTCTGCAACGCCTGAGCGAACTGACCCAACAGGAGATCCTGTTGATCAAGTCTGGCGACTAACATGGGAAGCAAAGGCGTATCTGCACCGTCAGGATTCATGGCATTTGTGTAATGTCAGGGCAGGAGCTGTGGAATGGACAGGCAGGCCTAATGGCAGGGTCACGCACCGACTGATGACAACCACCACCCACAGACCGGAGTCCCTCAGGGCGTGGAGTCTAAGCCCCAGGCTGCCCTTCACCAGGGCCCCTGATGGTGGGGATGGACTTGACGCAGCCAGGGACCAGGTCGCGGCCCCCGAGAAACCCCAGCTGCGTTAATGGTCGCCGCCAATGGCGTATAGCTGGTAGGAACCAGATAAGAAAGATAGCGTAGTCGGACAGGCCGGGTCGATAACAGCGGGACAGACAGTACAGAACGGTAGACAAGAATACACAGGTCATAAGCCAGGTTCAGCAACGGGAGGTCAGATAAAGGGATAAGGCTGAGAATAGTCTAGACAAAGCTGAGTCAGTTTCCAGGAGAGCCACGAGAGTAGAATAAGAGCTTGCAACAACACTATCAAACAGGACACGAATGCAAAGAGCAAGTGCAGACAACAGGCTTAAATGTGCTCAACCACACCCCTCTGGGGGATGGACCGCAGAGGCCTGAAAGCATAAAAGGCTCCCACCATGCTTTCCAGAAACCCAAGATGGATGCCAGCACATGGAGCAGCATAACCTCTGGGAAAAGGTAGGACCTTGACAGTATTGTATTGTAATGTATTGTTTCGTTTCTGAGCATGCGCGGTCTTGGTCACTTGATTTTGTTGGCCGAATACTAATTATACGAAAATCGTTCATTCTGGTTTCGTACGAGAAAACATTTCAGATAATTTTGCATGAACTGTCGTGATCGGCTCTCAAAAGCTGTGTAATAACGATCGGATTATTGGACGATTGCTTCGAAAGCTGTATTTTTTCATCTGATTTTGTCATCTTGTGTACTAGGCATTAGTCTCTACCTGGAGTGCTGGAGGGGTTGGGGGATTGGGGGCCGCAGTAGCTGGCTTTCACTCTCAGCTGCATGTTGAAGGGTGGAGCTAGCTGTCAAACAGGCAGCAGGATGGATCCCAACAATATTGTCAGGTTCCTTCCAGAGCCTCGAGTGGCCGGCAAAAGCCTACTATCAGCTGACTATGGGCCACAGAAGGACAAACGTAAATGGATTCCTGTTGTCCACAGGAGAAATTTGTCCAACAAGGCTTTAAGGCTTCAAAGTTGAACTCCGGAGAAATTTCAAAACTACCCTTAACCACTTGACAACCGGCTATACAGCTCATTTGTCCAGTTTTAGAAGGGCGTCCTATGATGTCCTCGCAGAATCTGCCCCCCCCCCCCCCCGCGAGCCCCAGGCGGTGCATCTGGTGCTGTCTGTGATCGCTGTGTCCTACGGACACAGCTGATCACATGGCAAGGTAAAAGGCCAATCACAGCGGCCTTTTACCACACAATCAGCTGTGTCCAATGACACAGCTGATCACAAACTAAATACAGTTGCCGGTTATTGGCAGCACTTTCCTCACACTGTCACAGCCTGAGGAAAGTACTGTCGATAACCGTAAAGTGTCACATAGGACATCTGCACTGATAATCAGGGCACTGATTATCAGTGCAGCCCCAAAAGTGCCCAGCAGTGGCACCCATCAGTGCCCAGCAGTGCGACCCATTAGTGCCACCCAGCAGTGCCACCCATCAGTAATGACCAGCAGTGCCATCCATCAGTGCCAAGCAGTGCTGACAGTCAGTGTTGTCTATCAGTGCTGTCAATCATTGCCACCAGTCAATGTCCATCAGTGCCGCCTATCAGTGGTGCATATCAGTGCAGCATCATCAGTACATTACTGTGCAAATGTCATTCAAAGGGCAACAGCTCTGGAAGCCAAAAACTGGCCTGGGCAGGAAGGGGGTAAAAGTGCTCGGTAGACTAGTGGTTAAAACGGGGCTTCCCTAAAACTGTAAATGCTCATTTTTGTCTAGGATACCATTAAAAAGAGAAGTTTTACTTACCTTAGCCCTCCCCCCTCTCCCTATTCCCACACAAGAAGCAGCATATTTCACCTAGTCCAGGTATGTCCAAAGTCCGGCCCGCGGGCCATTTACGGCCCGGGGGTCGGGTTAATACGGCCCTCCAACAGCCCTCCCTGCTCTGTGTAATGTGGCCCTCCCTTCTATGGCAGACAGTCGTCTGCTTGAGAGCAGAGGGCAGTGCACATGCCTGACTGCGGCGCGTTTTCCCTGGTCTGTGTAAATGGGGCTGTCGCACGGCCCTCCCTTCTGTGGCAGACAGTCTTCTGCTTGAGAGCAGAGGGCAGTGCACTTGCCTGACTGCGGCGCGTTCTCCCTGGTCTGTGTAAATGCGGCTGTCGCACGGGCCTCCCTTCTGTGGCAGACAGTCTTCTGCTTGAGAGCAGTGCGCATGCGTGACTGCGCCGCGCTGGGAGCGACAGAGGGCGGTGACGTCAGGGCCGGGCTTCCAGCATGAAGTGTGTTTCTCTTCCCCTCCCAGCTGCCGAGCAGAGACTTCAGCTCCAGCTACCTTTTTCACCCTTCACATTAGTGCAGGTAAGTTTTTTTTTAATTTATTTTCAATACATTGTGAAAACTCAGCTGTCAGTTGATCTTAATGTTATGAAATGAAAAGTATGTCGTTTGCAATTAACTTGGCATAAAATAATTTATTTGCAATAAATTGTAATGGCTCAAAGAATGTTCGGAAAAATGTTCGGCCCTCCACCATGTTCACTTCATCCAATCTAGCCCTCTTTGAAAAAAGTTTGGACACCCCTGACCTAGTCAGAGAGAGCATTCAAACAACTACAATAACCAATCCAAGGTCTTATTTCCTTTTCTATGATTACAGAAAGCATACCCTTCAAATCACACCAGAGTAATGAAGCATGGTAAGGGGACCTGTATCACAGTAGACAAACACACACTCATTATTATTACTAAAGCCCAGACTTTTTTTTATTTTGGATACGGTAGGACATGATTAAAATCTTAGCTTTTTTGCCATCTGTGTAGGTACAACAGGAAGTCAGATGAAAATTTCATAAAACCTTTGGGAACATTCCCATTGAAAGATTTCCCTTCTGTTCCTGTTCTGGAGACAACTCAAAATTTAGGATTCCATGCCATTTTCTGTCTTGGTGACAACAGTCAGCTGCACAAAGAGAAATAGTGAATCTCCCCTGCGGGGACGCAGCAATGAAAACCGAAAATTTTTAACTCTTTTAAACTATACCGTATCTAAAGCGTAAACTTTTTTTTTAGTTATTAAATTTAATCCCGTCAAATTTTCCCTTTGTGCGCTATTCTGGAGAATTACCTTTACTTCCTGTCCCAAAGACCAAGCAGGAAGAAAGGGAAATCCTCCAAAATAAGGGTAATTCCCTTTTAAGCTGGTCGAAAAATGGACAAATTTTTGCTGGTTCCTGAATAATTTATCAAGATTCGAGCTGTGGGTGGCTCTGCTGGCACCCTCCCTTTCTATGTTCTCAATCTGAAAGCTGAAGGAGTCAGGCAGAAAACATTTTTGTTTTTTGTTTTTTAATCAGCCAAACAACGGCTGCATCCAATCAGATGTAGCCACTGTTTGGTATTCTGATGAGTGATGCCTGTACAAATTTTGCATTCTCCTTCACTTTAGTCCCAGTGACAGTGGTCACCAGGACAGAGAGGGTAAATCCCCCCCCCCATTCCCCAGCACCCTGGTACACACAGCAATAAAACCCTTCACCACTCCATCCAAAGTTGAAAAAACTTTTAGATATACTTGAAATCGCAGATACAGGTTAAAAGTTACTTTGTTATGATTCTGGCCAATGAACCACCTGTGATGACTAAGAAAGTTTGGAAAATCAATTGACTCACCCATTGCAGGCACTGGAACACACTGTCAGGTGATCCTACCTCTTCTATCTTCTATGGGGCACCTTGAAGTCCTATTGCCAACCGCCTGCTACTCCAGCATCTTGTTTCCTTCTGATGACTAATGAACTCACAGCTTCTTTCCGGTTACCTTAGAAGTCCGACTACACTTATCTCAGAGGACCATAGACTAGTTTCCCTAATGAATTCATTGACTGGTGCTAGCAAATAAATACATAAACCGTCAGACACAGGAAAACACCATTCTAGTTGTCCTTCTCTCCAGTCATCAGCCATCTCAGTCTTCCCAGCAGATTGTACATTAGAGGATTACCAGGTGCTTTGTGTGCTCTGCAGCTCTGAGCTCCGTTGCTGCTTACAGGCACATTCTGAGTATCAAACCTCTGATGGGCAGAGTGCCATGAAACCTCTGCAAAACTGCCAATAGCTGCAGCAGCAATCTTCCAGAAGGAGCTATTATCCCACTAGAACTGCAAGAAGTCATCATTCATATCCCCTACTCTGCCTAGTACAATGTTTCCTGGGTCTACCCATTGCAGCCTATCCCTACCGCTTCTTCTCTGCTGCCTTTAATGTTTTATAGATGTGTTCATTACAGACTAGCCCTGCTGCTTTTTCTCTGCTGCCCTTAATTTAAAGTTTCCTTAGTCTACCCATTGCAGCCTAGCCCTGCTGCTTCTTCACTGCTGCCCTTAAATTAACATTTCCTGGGTCTGTCTATTGCAGCCTAGCCCTGCTACTTCTCCTTTGCTGCCCTTAATTTAAAGTTTCCTGGGTTTGTCTATTGCAGCCTACCTCTGCTGCTTCTACTCTGCTTCCTTTGGTTTAAAGTTTTATGGGTATGTTCATTACAGCCTAGCCCTGCTGCTTCTTCTCTGCTGCCCTTAATTTAACATTTCCTGGGTCTGTCTATTGCAGCCTAGCTCTGCTGCTTCTCTGCTGCCCTTAATTTAAAGTTTCCTTATTCTAGCCATTGCAGCCGAGCCCTGCTGCTTCTCCTTTGCTGCCCTTAACCTCTTGCCGACCGCGCATAGCCGAATGACGGCTTCACCGCGGCCGGCCAGTTCTGAGTGGACGTCATATGACGTCCTCCCAGAACGCGCTCTCCTGCGCGCCCCAGGGGGCGCGCACCCGGCGATCTCCGTGATCGCTGTGTCCTACGGACACAGCTGATCACGTGATGTGGTAAAAGGCCAATCACAGCGGCCTTTTACCACGTGATCAGCGGTGTCCAATGACACGCTGATCACAGGGAAATGCAAGTGCCGGTTCTCGGCTGCACTTTCCTCACGCTGTCAGATCGTGAGGAAAGTACTGCCGAGAACCGGCAGTTGTCAGAGCGGGGATCGGCACCGATCATCAGGGCACTGATGATCAGTGCACTGATGAACGGTGCCCAGCAGTGACACCCGCAAGTTCCGCCCAGCAGTGCGCCCACTAGCTCCGCCCACCCGTGCCCAGCAGTACCCCCACCTGTGCCCAGCAGTGCCCCCACCTGTGCCCAGCAGTGCACCCACCTGTGCCACTCTGCAGTGCCACCTACCTGTGCCCAGAAGTGCCACCTACATGTGCCCAGCAGTGCCACCCACCTGTGCCCACCAGTGCCACCCACCTGTGCCCACCCACCAGTGCCACCCACCAGTGCAGCCCAGCAGTGCTGCCAGTCAGTGCCACCAGTCAGTGCCCAGGGGTTGTGCCAGTCAGTGCCACCAGTCAGTGCCCAGCAGTGATGCCAGTCAATGCCGTCTATCAGTACCCATAATCAGTGTCACCTATCAGTGCCGCCTATCAGTGCTGCATATCAGTGCCGCCTATCCGTGACCCCTAATTAGTGCTGTCTATCAGTGCCGCCTATCCGTGCCACCTCATTAGTACTGCCTATCAGTGCCCTTTAGTGCTGCCTATCAGTGCCCATCAGTGCCGCCTATCAGTGCCCATCAGTGCTGCCTCATCAACGCACATCAGTGAAGGAGAAAAAATACCTGTTTGAAAAATTTTATAAAAGAAACAAAAACTTTTTTTTTTTTCAAATTTTTTGCATTTTTTTATTTATAGCGCAAAAAGTAAAGCGCCCAGTGGCGATTAAATACCACCAAAAGAAAGCTCTATTTGTGAGAAAAAAATGATCAAAATTTCATATGGGTACAATGTTGCATGATCACGCAATTGTCAATCAAAGTGCGGCAGCGCTGAAAGCTGAAAATTGGCCTGGTAAGGAAGGGGGTATAAGTGCCTCGTAGGCAAGTGGTTAATTTAATGTTTCCTGGGTCTGTCTATTGCAGCCTAGCCCTGCTGCTTCTCCTTTGCTGCCCTTAATTTAACGTATCCTGGGTCTGTCTATTGCAGCCTAGCCCTGCTACTTCTTCTTTGCTGCCCTTAATTTAACATTTCCTGGGTCTGTCTATTGCGGCCTAGCCCTGCTGCTTCTTTTCTGCTGCCCTTAATTTAAAGTTTCCTTATTCTATCCGTTGCAGCCTAGCCCTGCTTCTTCTCCTTTGCTGCCCTTAATTTAACGTTTCCTAGGTCCGTCTATTGCAGCCTAGCCCTGCTGCTTCTCCTGCTGCCCTTAATTTAACATTTCCTGGGTCTGTCCATTGCGGCCTAGCCCTGCTGCTTCTTTTCTGCTGCCCTTAATTTAAAGTTTCCTTAGTCTATCCATTGCAGCCTAGCCCTGCTTCTTCTCCTTTGCTGCCCTTAATTTAACGTTTCCTAGGTCTGTCTATTGCAGCCTAGCCCTGCTGCTAATCCTTTGCTGCCCTTAATTTAATGTTTCCTAGGTCTGTCTATTGCAGCCTAGCCCTGCTTCTTCTCTGCTGCCCTTAATTTAACGTGTCCTGGGTCTGTCTATTACAGCCTAGCCCTGCTGCTTCTCCTTTGCTGCCCTTAATTTAATGTTTCCTAGGTCTGTCTATTGCAGCCTAGCTCTGCTGCTTCTCCTTTGCTGCCCTTAATTTAACGTTTTCTAGGTCTGTCTATTGCAGCCTAGCCCTGCTATGTCTTCTTTGCTGCCCTTAATTTAACGTTTCCTGAGTCTATCCATTGCAACCTAGTCCTGCTGCTTCTTCTCTGTTGCCCTTAATTTAAAGTTTAATTGGCCTGTGTATTGCAGCGTAGCCCTGCTGCTTCTCCTATGCTGGCTTTAATTTAACTGGATCTGACCATTGCAGCCTAGCCATAATATTTCTCCTTTTGCTGCCCTTAATATAAAGTTTCCTATCTGTTGTAGCCTAGTCATTCTACTTTTGCTCTGCTGCTCTTAATTTAAAGTTTCTTAGGTTTGTCTATTGCAGTCTAGTCCTACAGCTTCTCCTTTGCTGCCTTTAATTTAATGTTTCTTTGGTCTGTCTTTTACAACCTAGCCATAATATTTCTCCTTTGCTGCCTGTTTGTTTAAAGTTTCCTGGGTCTGTCTATTGCAGCCTAGCCCTACTGCATCTCCTCTGCTGTCTTTAATTTAAAGTTTCCAGAGTCTATCAATTGTAGACTAGTCCTATTGCATCTAATCTGCTACCTTTAATTGAAGGGTCTGTTCACACAAGGCTAGCCCCACTGTGATGGTGAGATCTTAATTTAACGTTTCCTAGCTCTGTCTATTGCAGCCTGTGCTGCCTTTCATTCAAAATTTCCTGGGTCTGTTCACCCCAGGATTGCCTTACTATACTAGTGGGGTCCTTTACATCTCTTGAACTGTCCTTACGAGCCCATGTTCACTAGCTCTGTCTACCTTAGGCTAGCCTAGCTGTACTGGAGGGGTCTTTCATCTCTCCAGTGCTGTCTTTCATCCAAAGTTCCCTGGATCTGTTTTTTTCCAGGCTAGCCCTGTTCTTCTGGTAGGGTACTTTACATCTGATCTGCTGCCTTTACTTAAATGTTTTCTGGATCTGGCCACCTAGCCCTATTGCATCTCCTCTGCTGCCCTTAAAGTTCCCTGAGTTTGTTTACCCATGACCAGCTTGGTAGGAACCTTCATCTCTCCTGTTCTGCCTTTTATCCAAAGTTCCCTGGATCATTTTTCCCAGGCTAGCCCAGGCATATAGTGGTATCCTTTACATTTACTGTATTGCCTTTAATTAAACATTTTCTGGTTCCGTCCACTGCAGCTTAACCCTAGCGCATCTCTCTGTTCACCCAAGGCTAGATGTATACTGGGGAATTCTTTACATCTGCTGTGCTGCTTTGAATTTAAAGTTTCCTGGATGTGTTCTCCCCAGGTTAACCCTGCTGTATACTGGTGATATCTTGACATCCATTGTGCTGCCTTTCATACAAAGTTCCCTGGAACTGTTTTTTTTTTCCAGACTAACCCTGCTGTTCTGATGGGATACTTCACATCTCCTGTGTTGCCAATAATACAAGGTTTTCTGGGTATGTCCACCCTAGGATAGCCCTGCTGTACTGGTGGGATGCTTCATCTCTCATGTGGTGCCTTTGACGTATTCTAGGTCTATTCACCCAATGCTAGCCCTGCTGCATACTGTGGGAATCATTCACATCTCCTGTAGGGATTCTAATTGAATTCCTCTGATCTGTCCTCCCCAGGCTAGCGTTGCTGTACTGGTAGGATCATTCACATCTACTGTACTGCTTTTAGTTCAAAGTTCCCTGGATTTGTTTTTCCCAGGTTAGCCCTGCTGTACTTACTAGTGGAATCCTTCATGTCTCCTGTGGTGTCATTAATTCAAAGTTCCCTTGATCTGTCTCCCCCAGGGTTAGCCCTTCTGTTCTGGTGGGATCATGTCTACTGTACTGCCTTTAATTCAAACTTCTCTGGATCTGTCCTCCCAAGGCTAGTCCTGCTGTTCTGGTAGGCTCATGTCTCCTTTACTGCCTTTAATTCAAAGTTCCCTGGATCTATCCTCCCCAGGCTAGCCCTACTGATCTGGTAGGATCATGTCTCCTGTACTGCCTTTAATTCAAAGTTCCCTGGATCTGTTCTCTCCAGGCTAGCCCTGCTGTTCTGGTAGGATCATGTCTCCTGTACTGCCTTCAATTCAAAGTTTCCTGGATCTATCCTCCCCAGGCTAGCTCTGCTGTACTTACTGGTGGGATCATTCATCCAACGTTCTCTGGATCTGTCCTCCCCAGGCCAGTCCTGCTGCTGTGGAAGGATCCTGTCCTCTCTGCAGTCCTCCAGCACAGTGTCCTGCTGCTCGCTATGTACACTCTCCATGCTGTCAGACATCTCTGCTCTCTATGATTTCCTTCATCTAACCTTTCCAGTGTCACTTTCCTGATCTGACTCCAGGACTCCCCCCCTCCCCCCTCCCTGTCCTTCTACCCCCTCCCTCTTTCGACTCTCCGTATCTCATCTCACAAACTTCTGTCTTTTCTCCATACACACATCGCCGATGTCACACCAGTTAACCCCCTCCACCCCAACGGTGCTATCTGTATGCGAGATTCCACTCATCCTCCATGCAGAATGTGTGTCAATATTTAGTGATGACACGCCGAGCGGTGTAGGTGTGGGGATCGCACAACTGTCATTGTACTGGAAGTGCGGCATCCTGTCATCCTGCGCTGAGCACTGATGGAGGGGAGCTCCCCGCACTGATGAGACCGGCGAATCTGCAGACAGCTGCCACGGGGCGGGCTCTGCCTTTGGCTCCGCCCCCCTTGGAACTGCAGTGCTGAGAAGTCAGCAGAAGTGTGTGTGCACATGGGAAGGAGTCCAGAGGGGAGAGGTAAGAGGAGGCTGAGGGGACAAAGTGAAGGAGAGAAGGGGGAGAGCAACACAAAGACAACACACAGCAAGGCTGCTGACTGGGGACAAAGGTATGCAGAGAAAACAAACATGGGGTCACCTCAGGGCAGGTTGGGAGACACGCACTGAAAGTGTGTATGGGGGGGGGGGGGGGGGCACCTATGAAGAAGACTTCTATTGTATTGTGGTCACCTATGAAGAAGACTTCTAATGTGGTCACCTATGAAGAAGACTTCTATTTTGGTCACCTATGAAGAATACTTCTATTTTGGTCACCTATGAAGAAGACTTCTATTTTGGTCACCTATGAAGAAGACTTCTATTTTGGTCACCTATGAAGAAGACTTCTATTGTGGTCACCTATGAAGAAGACTTCTTTTGTGGTCACCTACAAAGAAAGCTTCTATGGTAATCACTGCTCTTTATGTCTCTCCTGACAGAAAATGCTGGCGGGACCCCCTTGGCTCCGAGACGTCTCCTCCTATATCCATGGCCTGCGGTGTCACCGTCATTCATGGCTTTTCATCGTCATCCTGGGTGAGTGAGCTGATAAATGAGCTTTCTCTACTGCTTAGCAACAATTCCCCATCTGCGGAGGAGATGGTAGGAAAGTTACATTGTTATGCAGTTTCAGTATATTTCTATGAGGAGTGCTCTTCTATCGTTATCTCCCCAGTGATTAGCTGCACTTTGGGAATCTAAATTTAGAGAACGTGGCATTAGTAACTGACCTAAACCCCACAACACCACCACCACTATCAGCACCTCCACCTCTTTGCACACACCAGGCAAACTTAATGCCAGCCAAAAAAAGACTGCA